CCCTAACCCTAACCCTAACCCTAACCCTAACCCTAACCCTAACCCTAACCCTAACCCTAACCCTAACCCTAACCCTAACCCTAACCCTAACCCTAACCCTAACCCTAACCCTAACCCTAAATTGTACGAACGGGTATAATGATAGAGATAGCCCAAAAGTAGGAGTAACCGAGAGTAACACAGTAATACAAGGGTCTGCTAACTGGCTTTCGCTGTCCTTTCTCTCTCTTATCCGGTTGCTAGTGGTGGTGGTGCGGATTCTTCTGTTGATATAACATCAGACAGGGTCTCTTGGTGCAATCGTCATCGTCTGAAGCTGGCTTGCGTAACTCTGTCTTTCCGCTTTCAGGTGATGGTGGGGTGATTGTCTTAGAGAGGTCGTCTTGTGCATGGGGAGTGGGTGGGGCATCATCATCCATGCTTTCCGTAGATGAGCTCGGTGTTGGCGTTTCCAAGGGTGTAGGAGTGTCTGTTCCGTCCTCTGCTACACTGAAGTCCTGGTCCAACTCTACAGACTCTTCCTCAAGGTCTTCTTCACCTCGTTCAAGAGTAAGATATCCTGCAGCCTAGTGTCAGACGGACCGACAGTTGGACAACTTGTTCTCCTCACCCTCGGGAACAATACCAGTCGTCCCATCCGCATTCACCATGATCACCCAGCCGATCGGTCCACATCTCGACACGATCCGATAGAGGTGGCCCGCAGTCATTGGGAGTTCTGCTGTTCCTTCCGGGATGAAGTCGTACAGACAACGGTACAAGCCGGGAACAAACGGGCGCTCGAAACTGTCTTCCTCATCCTCGTCGTCGTACGATGGATATGGGCTATGGTCTAACTGTAGGGTATCTGAGTCACAGATCCCAAATAAGACAAAACTCAAACTTACGTCGGAATCATTCTCGACGGCTTGTCCAAAACCCCAATTGGTCTGAAACGGCTTCCGTTCCGGAGGTGGCTTCGGCTTCGGCTGGCCTTGTCCCTCAAGACCCTTTCCGTAATGTCGTTCGTCGGTTTCGTCATACGCAAAGTCACGAATCTTCATGACTAGCACAGGCGAAGTGGGCTCGAGGGACATGGATGACGTGATGAAGTCGCCAAGTTGTAGACGGATGGAAGAAGTGCTTGATCGCAAGTCGGGTATGATAATGGTGGGCTCGTCCAATGGAATTGGTGCAGACTTGGATGGGGATGATGTGGGTAGAGACACGGTCGAGGTTGATGACAGCGAGTGGCGTATCATCCGAGGTGGTGTGTCCAGTACACTTGCGGGCTGAGACGCAGTACGCTTCTTTATGGGAGTTGACACGGCGCTTATCTGTGAATTTGAGAGAGATAACAAGCCAGAGGAAGGAAATCCAGAGTGAGAAGGCGAGCCCAGTAGTATACTAGCGCTGCTGGACTGTGAACGGAACTCCGAGTCTGATTCGAATACAGACGATGACAATGGAAATGGTGAAGACGGTGAAGTTGAGCTATCTCTTCTGCGTGCTGAATCCAATTGAAGTGAAGGTGGACGGTGAATTGGGAGTGGATCGATGTTTGCCAATGACATGTTGACAGTTTTGTTTATTCTGTGGTGGTGAAGAAGTAAGCTGAGCGCGCACGAATAGAGGGAGGAGCGTGGCACGCGAGTCGTGTGTTTTGGGAAAGAAAGGGTCAGCAATGATCCCGTAAGCGATGCTTCCGCTTGTCAACCAAACGTGGGGTGAAACGAGTCACCAGCGCCTCCGTCTGAATCCCACACCTGCACTTTTTGCGGTAAAATAAAGGAAGACTTTATCCCTGGTACGATGAACCTGAGTTGTCAGCGCCCGTACCACCGCCAGGTGAGAAAAATCCAGGAAAAATTGCACGGCCATATGCTGCCTACTACCTTCTAAGCTATACTGCGATTGTGTGCTATTTAGAGTTGGGTGCAGCGAAACCCTGCAGCATGGTCGATGCTTAACTCTTCTACCGCCTGACGTTCCGCTTACTCATGTCTCCGTAGTCCAGGGCTTGTTTAAGATTATTTTCTCCATTGCGTTCACATCGAGACTTGCGAGATGTTCGAATGCGGCTTATGTCCGCTGTTCCTTGGTCGAAACCCACCACTCACTGCTCCAAAACTCAGCACACAACATTCGAGAGCTTAGAGACAAGGGAGACGAGTCGTTGATGTCTCATTCATTAATAAGTGCCGAAGGAACTTCCTGCGAACCTTTTATTGAACCATTTAGGGCGCCGATTTGTCAGGTTACTTCTTAATCAATCCCGCACATTCTCTCTGGGTAGCGGGCAGACTTCATCACTGGTATGATGAACATGAGTCATCCACACCCGAAGCACCGCCAGGTGAGCAGAATTCATGAAAATTTGCATGACCATATGCTGTCTAACCTTCTAACTGCTATACTACGATTGTGTGATGGCTAGGTTAGTGTTGGGTGCAGCGACACCCAAGTACTGCAGCAAAGCGTGGATGCTTAACTGCTCCTACTTCTGACGCTCCGCTTCCTCGTGCCTCCGTTGCTCCCTCTCTTCATAAATATGGTGCAGTTGTTTCAGACTTGTGATTGCAAAATCCAGGGCTTGCTTTAAATTATCTTCTCCATTAATGGCATTCACATCTAGACTTGCGAGATGTTCGAATGCGGCTTGCGTCCGCTGTTCGTGGGTCATGGCAGCATCGGCAGCCTCTTTCTGGGCCTTTTGCGCCTCCCGCTCCTGACGACACGCCTCCGCGACCTTGGCGAACGATTCTTGAGCAGATTGCGCGTAAAACATGTGTTCCTCGCTTGTCATCACAGATCGGCTGAGTACCATGTGGGTATGACGCTGATCTGGGTTGTTGGCCATGAGGAACATGGTTGAGTCGGTCATGTTGTCCAGTTCACGGAACTGGAAGGGAACCGTCAGTTTCACGTCGTGGCACCAGATTATAGCCGCTTACCTGCCTGACCAGATTACGCCATTTCTGCTCGAACTTTTGTCGCCTTTTCTTTTCATCGGGGATAAACTCATGATGGTAGCCATTTTCCATCTCGGCGTCGGATAGCTCATCGAGCCAGACATCGTCCTCGTTGTCTTCTCTTTCCGACTCCGTCTCTGCTGGAACTGTGCTATATCCAGACTCCGAAGGCGGACGTTGAACATTACGATTTGATTTGATGATACGGGGTGCTCTGGACTCATTAAGCGGAAGTGGTATATGGGAAGGTGAGGAGGCTGATGATGAGGCGTATTGAAATGGGAGGAATGGGTTGAGTGGTCCAGGGTATGCGGAGGATGCTACGGATGCCGCAGACGGTGGTGGGCGAGGGATTTGATCCGCTGGGATGCCGCGGATGTAAGATGGGGATAGCTGCTTGGGGCGTCGACGCGCTCCGGGAGACTCTGCTGACGGGGTTCCTCCATTAGATGCTTGACGAGATGAGTACCTCTCAAATGGTCCAAAAGACGGATGTGTCGCGGCGTATTCTTTGGAAGGGTATGTCGGTTTAGGTGCGGCTACTGACTGTGTGGGGCGCTGTGAGCCGATCTGCAGCGCCATCAGCAATTGCTGGATCGAGCTAGATCCCTCAGCAGGCAGGGTTCCTGACTGAACTCGTGGCGTGTTGGCGATCGAAGTGTCTTGGTCATCTGTGTCTGTGTTGATAAGAACTGCAGATCCCAAAGGTGAATTGTAATCCTCCGGGAGCTAAAAAAGTACATCAATGACTGAACGACGACTCTACATAATGACTGCATACCTGAGTGACAACATGCCACCCATTCCCTTCTTTGTCGATGTCGTCTTCATCATCTCGGTCATCCACGAGCTGAGTGGATTCTTTTGTTTCTTTAAGTACAATAGCTGTGCTGGCACCCGGTGCCGCACTCGGTTTCGATCGTCTATCAAACCCGAATGGTGGAGATGCACTGCCCGTGCTTGCGGAATTTGTTGTGCTTTGAAGAGTAGAGCCGGAGGAACTCGGTGAGACAGGGTTGGAGGTCGGCAGAGGTATGGTATAAGCCGGGGCGGAATCGCCGGTACGTAATCCGAGGAAGTAGTTGTAATTAGCCGCTTTGGAACTCTTCATAGTCTGTCGGTGGATTTGTGTGCTGTTGGAAGGGATATTGGGTAAGGGTCGATCGGGCACCGCTGGTCCGGTTTGGGCGGAATAGGAGGGCGGGCCATTTGCGGAAGGAGGCATTGAGACTCCTCTCGCAGGAGGGAAGTCTTGTGTGACATAAGGATTCGGACCGCCGGGGAAAGCGAATGACATCCTTTTCCGGCCCCGGTCTATGCCGTCCTCTGCAGCGTTCTGCGACGTAATACTTCGATTCTTTTCATCGGCATCCCTCTTTGCGAATTCTTTGAACTCGCTCACGAGTTCTTGCGTCAATGGCCATACCTGGCAATGGTTTGGTTGAAATTTTGGCGAAGGACAATATCTGCTTACCTCTGGTTCGCTCTCGCTTTTGTACACCGGCGCAGGGACTCGAGGGATGACGCGTCGGGTCGGACTTGTCTCCTGGGACTTGACTACGGCAGGATATGGTGGTGCAGGATAGCCAGCTAAGCTGGAGGCATCCTCCATCGAGGAGGTGAGGAGGGACAGGAGCTGCGAGTGGGACGTTGCACGAGGCAATCGGATCGTCCCCATCGGATCGTCTTTGAAAGTCGTCCCCCGCATAGTGTTGTTACGTCCATCCCACGACGGCGGTCTGGGTCTTGAAGAATAATTAGAGTGAGGAGATGACGAATTGTGTGAGCTCATGATGGTGGATGTTGGTTGATGGGTGGGGTTGTCGGTGTCACCCAAACCAAATAATTCATCGAAGGACTGACTCGACCGTTGCGCAGCATTCGAACCCGGGGGAATTCCCCTGTCAGAACCCCTGGGCGGCTGTCCTGCAGGCGATGTGGACGTCATTTTGTTCGCCGACAAAGAGATGATGGACGCTGTCCAACCAGCAGCGGAGTTTAGCTAAATGCTCGCTTAGGAGTCGTGATTTCCCCAGAACGGGAGAGAAAGACCCTTGGTGGAGTGTAAGCAAAGAATAGGAATGGGATACCGAGAGAGACTGTTGTGTATACGTTACGTTGGGGAAATTGTAAACCGGAATGATGGCGTGTGAGGTTGCGTTGAGCCTCGAGGCGAGGGCGTGCCAACCCTCAGCCCACGCGTGAATGCTTCCGTGCGCCCTCTTATCGACATCACCATGTCCGTATTGTTAGCCATGGTGGGAGATAAGAGGTTTGCACGATACCTTGCTGAAAAAAAGTGGATGGTAACGTCAAGGTTTCGAGACATTCACTGGAATGATGACGTTATTGGAAGACCCCTCATTCCGTGAGCACCTTGATCCCTGGAAAAGCCACACGACGGAAGTGGTTCTCCAAGTGATGACCGTGGGAGAAGGGCCAACCCCACGGGATCGTATAAAGAGCAGTGGATTGTCCGGAAAACTATGGCTACAGCACATTGGCTCTGGTGAGCGGTCTAGGGTAACATGATGCAGGGAATGCGAAAGTTCTGTGAGGGCAATGCAATGAGCAGATATACTATCTGGGAGTCGGTCAGATGGTTTTGTTTTCATTTATCCGCAGGAGGGAGAGTTAGTCGAGATTCTATGGCTGGAAATCCGGTTGCTTGGCGGAGTTCTACAGAAACGGTGAGAATTTACGGGTTAAGGGAGTGACAATTGCTTACGGTATAATATCATGTCGCCCCAGAGGTAGGCAGCAGGAAGCGGACCAGGATGCAGCTGGTCCTGTTGGTGCGCGTGCTGTCCCAAAAGAAGATTGCCCCAATTGCTGTAGCTGACACCGTCTACACCAAGTTTTCCTGCGTTCTTCGTCCACTCATTATAGGCCTTGTGGTTTCCCAAATGCCAGGACTGGGGAAGGAAGAGGCTGCGAGCGGCATGATCAAGTTGAAGGAGGCGGTTGTGATGGAAGAATGGCCTATGGACCTCCGGGTTATTCCAGCTCCACCCCATAAACCAGTCGATTTTCGCATTCTCGTCACTAGGCCAGTGTGATGATCGCCAGACGAGGGGTACGTTCGGCCAGATGCTCTTCGCTTCACGGACAAAAGCAGCAACGCGCTGACGCCACCACTCAAGCCGGTCAGCAGAGAGGTCAGTGATCGTCATCTCATGGGCGTCCAAGTCATCACGTGCCCATTTTGCCAGGTCCCAGAGGGTGCTGCTGAGTTCGATAAGGTCTGGCCTTGGAGACCGGGCATGCGGCGCGAGTCCACCTTCGGATTCGGGCAAGGCGAGCCGCTCGAGGAGGGGTTGGGCGATGGCGTGCATGCGCTGTTCGACCGATCCAGGGGGGTTGTACTGATCCTTCGTGCGCCAATAGTCGGTCTCGTCCATCCTGGGTAACAGTGAGAAGAAGTCGGAGTTTGCAAAAAGAATATGCGCGTACCCCCATTGGAATATGGTGACTACCGCAAAGTCCCATTCTGGGATATAACATAGCCTCGGCCTGCTCTTACTCTCGTTATCCCTTCGCCAGTCCTCCCACTTCTCGCGTTCAGCCCATTCGGCAGGTATCCACTCCTGGGGGATCTGGTCGAACAGGTCCCACTTGTGCCCGCGGTGGATCTGCACGGATTCCTTTCCCAAAAGCTTGCAGAATTGCTGCACAGTGTTGCGTGTGACGGAATCACCAACGAGGAGCACAGTGCGGTTCTGGAGAAAAGGGAGGAGGTCAGCGGTGAGCTGGGGTGGATAAGGTTGGATCCCAGGGGAACGGATGTTGAGTGATTCGCGCAAGGCACGCATGAGGGGGGGTGGGGAGCATACGCCGTTGGTGGAGTTGGGAGTTCGGCCTCGATTGAGGAAGCCGAATGGTCTCCAGATGTTCTCCTCTGGTACGTTGGGGTTGACGCTGAGATGGCCATATGAGAGGAAAGGATCACACCCCGGTGTGGATGGGGGTTCTACCCGTGGATAGCAGAAGGAGGGGAGGTACCAGAAAGCGAGGATGCAAGTTATGCAAGCGATGAGGGGGATTGCGGGAGATCTGCAGGGCAATTTCATTCCCTTTGGAGAAGACGAACGCCAAGGAGGGAGCGAGTCGTTGTAGTAAGGCTTCTTGTACTGCTGCATGAACGAGAGCAAGAAGAGAAATGAAAGCAAGTGGGTGGAAGAGAGAGAGGATAGGGAGAGGGAGAGAAAATAAAGACGTGACTTTGGATTGTCCGATGAAGTGGGGAATGGTGGTGACCGGTGCCTGGCTGACTTGTCTCACATCGGTCACACCCGGTATGCTGATCGATATGCTGTATTGAGCGGGTCTGAGCGTGAAAAAAGGAAAGTGGGGTTGATTAAGAGACTCGTGTCTTTCGTTGATGAGCATTCTGAGTGGGTGAGTAAGACCAGAGCCCCACTTTGGGGAAGAATGGGACCCTGACGTCATCCACATCCTCGGTTGTCACTATTCCACGAAGAATTACCCATATGGTGAATGTACAGAAATAGGTCACCAAAAGACTTGGCATCCTCCTCCTCTTATCCCGGTATCCCCTTCCTCCCGTTTTATAATTTTCCAGCGAGGACGAGAATCTGCACGACCAACAGGAGAAGGTCAGGGTTTACGGTCTAGAACTCTCGGAGCCTGTGCGGGGAGGGTTAGCCATGTGCACTTTGCCAGAAGCATCGGTTGTGACCTTTGTTCCGCGCATTCCGAGGTATGCACTCGCAGGCAGCTACTTAATGATTGATATTGGAACAACCGCTCTAAAGTTGGAAGGAATGTCAGTGTCGTGTGAGAGCGCAGTTGCACAGTTCTCGTATGAATACCCTTGATGCAAGATAAAGCTGGATGACTCCCACCAGAAAGCAACGTGCTTCCTTCAGTGGCGAGGTTTGTTCATAAGGGATCGACGGGTGCAATCTTCCATTGAAATCGACCATCCGTTTTCAGGGCCTAGCATCGTTCCAACATCGAGTGCTAGGGGCTCTCTCTCTCACACACAGCATGAAACGGGCAGAGCGCCCGTCGCCCTCCTCGAGCTCCCCAACATCCCCCCAGCTCAAGAAACAGAAAGTGCCTGATACGGAGCCACCTCCCCTCTCCCTGGGGGAACAGCAGATGCTCGCTGCGGTAAAGGTCAGCTTGGCAGAGGCACAGGCACTTAGGGAGTCTGCGAAGGACAGTGGAGACTGGACGGTCGTAACAAGGCCAAAGGTGAAGAAGCAGTTGAAGCAACAGAAGAGGAGAGAGGTGTGTCCTACAACATCCAGGACGACTGTCGCTTACGGTGACTAGGCCAACCCCGCAGTCTTCAAGTATATGGTGCAAGGGTTGAAGACCCGGCGAGACCCTGTGTCGATTGATGTACTCCACGTTGTCTGATCACCGTTGCTCTACTGACACGCGATATTAGAGCGTACGCGAGTTCACCCTCTCATTGTTATGTGACATCCCCCCTCAACAATGGATCATCGCCGAGGTACGCGGCTTGAAGCAGGCGCCAATGTCACTGACGTTTCCCAGAACCCACGCTCGATTACCCACGTCCTAGCCCTCTTCATCCCCGGTATCGAAGCTTCCGACATCGGGCTCCCGGCGCCAATCCATTCGGAGCCAGCGATGCCCCTCGAGCTGCCCCGTCTGCGCCCACCCTCTTCCGCCGAGTCGCGCCTCCCTATTCTCCATAGCCTCTTTTCCCATGCATGTCCCACCCGAGCACCGGGAGAGCAGTATAAGTTGCACTCGTTTATTGCACACTTTATGCAGAGTCCGTTGACACCTGAGGAGGCGAGGAAACGGCATAAGCAACGGCAAGAACGTGAGTCATCCTTCTTTGTCGAGAGTTTTCGGCTGACGAGAGAACAGTAGAACAGCATACGAATCTTACTGCAGCAGACCTTGTACTCTCATATCCCCAAATGAAAGAAAACGACTACCCGATCCCTACCTACCTCCGCCCCCACCTACGCAGCGCGCCCTCTCCCACAACCGAACCTTCATCCTTAGAACCAGGCTGGATCGAGACACCTCCAACGAAGGACACACCTCCGAAGTACATGCTCTTAGCGATCGACTGCGAGATGTGCGATACGACTGCTGGGCAGGAGCTGGCGCGCGTGTCCATCTTGGATAGCACGACGAATTCTACGATATACGACACGATGGTCATGCCTGCTCATCCGATTACGGACTATCTGACGCGATTCTCTGGTGTGACGGAGGCGAAGCTCGCCGGGGTGACGACCACGCTATCGGACGTACAGCAACACCTGCTCTCGATACTACATCCTGATACCATCTTGCTGGGGCATTCGCTGGACAACGACCTGAAGACGCTCAAACTCTGCCATCCGCGTTGCGCTGATACCTCTGTGTTGTTCCATCATCCTCGTGGGGGCCCGTACAAGCCTGGTCTCAAGTGGCTGGCCCAACGATGGATGGCGAAAGAGATACAGAAGAATGACGGAAAGGAGGGGGAGAATGGGGGCCACGACCCGGTCGAGGACGCGAGGACCACGTTAGAGCTGTTTCAGCTCAAGCTGGAGAAGGGTGAGTCTCCCCTTGTCCCGACCATTTTAGTACTTATCAGTTGCAGGTCCGACGTTTGGTGAGTTCCAGCAAGATGTCGAGTCCATCTTTGAGAAGCTCGCAAGGCCGAGCGGGAAACGGCCTAATGGATCAACATCTGCGGTCGTGGATCACGGCAATCCCGCCCAATGGCACGGATCCAAGGCCAAGACATCTGTAGCGTGCACGACGGACGACGATGTCGTACAAGGCGTAATTGACGTGATCCCGGAGCACGATTTTGTCTTTGCGAGATTTATGGACCTTTCGCATGCCAAGGGGTGGGCAACGGCCAAGCAGTCCGCTCTGTTTCCCACAAAACCGGCGGATCCGTGTTCTCCATCTAATGACCCGCCTGAGCCGCCAAGCGAGGTGATTGAGAAGGCATATGCTGGTCTCAATGAGCGATTGACGAGGTTGCATCGGTCTTTGCCAAAGTCGACAGCGATCATCCTCATGACGGGTCATTCTGATCCCCGTACGATCGTCCAGCTGAACACACGCAAGCAGCACTGGGAACAGCAGTGGAGGAAGACGGGCGAGCTGGCACAGATACCAAAGGAAGACTGGTGGACGGGAGAGGATGATCGGAACCTTGTTTTTGCAGTAGATAAGGCAAGGGCGGGACTCGCCTTCTTTTGTATTACGAGACAAGCCCCTGTAGTTCAACCTGCAACATAAAGATGATGTTTTAGCGTGTCTCTAGCACCAATTCTGCGCAGCATGGAAATTCGTCACACAACAATACACTAGTTTACTATCCATAGTTAAAATCGCAGGGAAAATAAAACAGAACATGGTATCAACCGTGAATCGTTACATCGCGTAGATTATCGGGATATTTGCACATATACAGCAGACTTGCTTACGGTCTGCCCAACTCAGCGATAACTATCCGGATCAACTTCATTCTCAATTTCGATATTCCTCGCTCCGAAGTGAGGGGTTTTCTTCATCGCCGATCTCAGACTGGATGCCCTCGATACAGGCCGGGAATGCACTTGATCAGCAAGGACGGATTCGTGACGACCGTTGGCAAGGAAGGCCATGTCAACTTCGTTGCTAGCAGGATTAGGGTCCCGGAAAGCCGAACGTTGTGATCTCATGGACATCTTTGATCGGCTGCGATGTACACCACCGAACTCGTTATCCTCGGGCGCCGCGTCATAATAGGGACTCCTAGCAGCCATTCCAGGAGGGACAAATGCCCCAAAACTCGATTCACCGTTAGCGTGACGCCCCTGGACAGTTTCCGTAGGGCTGCCCCAGTTTGTCCCGCCTACCGATTCAGGCAGCGGGGGATAATTGCTTCTGCTCGATCCTGGCGGCCGCATACTCTGAGCCCTACTGAGCGGCCGTGCTTGTGTTGTTGAGTCGACGGAGCTACCCCAGGCACTTTCGGGCAGCGGTGAATAATAGCTCCTATTCGTGCCGGGAGCGCGCACGCTCTGTGCCCTGCTGACAGGTCTACCAGGTGGTGGAAGACCAGAGCCATAAAGAGGCGCCATAGGCCGTGTGGGGGGAGTCGGGCTTGCAACCATGCTGGCAGCGACCGAGACAGCACGAGAAGGCGGTCGCACCGGCATATCACGAGTCGGCGAATATGGGTTAGGCAGATTGTCATATGGACGACCCGGTGTTCGGGCATACTCCGTACGGTTATCTGAAGGTGGGAATGGATAGCCTGCAGCTGCGGATGTGGACCCATAGCCAGTGTCTGGCGGAAGCGGCGCAATGGACGGCGCAACTGATACCGGCAGGGGTACGGCGGTCGCGTCAGCATACCCACCGCCGAACTCGTTCCGGCCAGAAGGCGCGACGCTGCCAGCACGACTAGGTGCTCTAAACGGCGCCCCATATGTCCCATCTTGCACTGGGGGAGCAACAATGCCAGCTCGGCTGGGAGCCCGGTAGGCATTGTCACCATAATCACGACCAGGGGCAATGCTTGTTGCTCGGCTGGCCGGTCGTGCGAAGTCCTGGGCTTCCACTCCACGGCTCGTCCCCGCGCGACTTGCTGGACGGTTATATGCTACCATGGACGAGATGTCTACAGCGGTCGGCGACACATAGGCAGCCTCTCGAACGCTGGGGGCACGAACGCTGGCTGCTCGGCTCGCAGAGCGCTCATAAAGTGGTTGAGGCGGCTCATAAACCGGGTCCGGCGCGGCATAGGCAGCGCTTCTTGCACTGGCGGCAATGCTCCCTGCGCGACTTGGAGCTCGATCGTAAACTGGTTGGGCATATACAGCATCTCTGACACTTGCCGCTCTACTTGGAGCTCGAGCGGCGACGCCGTATTCTCCGCCGTACGCTGATGGTGCGCGCTGTACCGGTTGCTCAAAGCCAGAGCGGCGAGACATGGCACTGCCTGGGCGCACGGTGCGGTCAGAAGCCGGGCTCGCGGGTGCAGTATTCGGGATGTCCGGAATGTCTGGCGATATCATACTACGCCTTCGCATTGGAGAATTGGGGTCAGACTGTCAGAGAAAAGTTAATATCGAAACCAGTCTGTGATGACAACAGCACGCACAGGAGGTTGCACCATGATCGTCGGCGCGGCGCTGCCCATACTTGTCGTCCTCCTCCTATGACCCCTCCAAGGCTCCACGGTGGGCGGGCCATTGCCCACCAACGGGTTATTTACACTTCTAATGCTAGCTCGAGACGACATTCTTCCGGGATAATGTTCTGGGTCCAGCGGGGCCGGAGGAATAATCTGACTTGGTCGTCGGATATGCGAGTAGCCGCTACGCACGCTGCTCTGGATACCGAAAAGGACAACTTTGTTAGTGATACGTCGCTTCAAGACAAGGCCAAACTCACCCCTGAGCCAGGGCCCGGCCTGTTGTGACTCATCATCTCCTCTGCCACCTCCGGGTCGCTATTGCGCAGGGCGTAACGAAGGCGTTCTCTATCAATCGTACTGCCACCGTACACCGATCCTTCGGGACGAGAGCCATATGCACTTGGAGCCCGACTCGTCGGCAATTCTTGGGCAGCAGCATATCGTACTGAATTGGGAGAGACTTCGCCATGCTCAGAACGGCGCTCAGAGATACGAGACAGTCGGCCAGTTGGTGCGCCGCGTGCACTACCACGACCGAACTCGGAACCTGGTGTCTGGTACCCTGAGCCGTTGACGCTCCTGGGAGGTGCGTAGTACGTTCCCGACGTGCCACCCGTAACACCAGTATCGACGCTACGAATCTGATTCAGAGAGTAAACCCCTTGACCTTGATCAACACCTGCTGCGGCAGCTGCCGCTTGCTCTTCAAATATGTTGGCCGGGTCAAGCACTCGGTGAGGTGCAGGGGAGATGATATTCCTCGCGGGTGTCATGCCAGGCCCGCTGCGCATGCTAACCCTGCTCGGCTGTCGGGATATGTTGTTGAACGACACTTCGCCCATGAGGTCCGCTTCGTCTTGCGTCTGCGGGAGAACTCCACGAGTAGGTTGGACTTCGTGAGGCGGGGGTAGAGAGATAGACCCGTTTGCCCCGACAACGGGTACGTAACCGTCAGGAATGTCGGCAACAGGGGTGTGGGGACGCGAGTGTGCGGGGGAAACGACCATTGGCTGAGCGAGGTTCATTGGTGTCGTAATCGGGTTGTACGGGGCTGAAGCGACAAAAGGAGCGACGTCAGGTACGGCTGGTGCAGGAGGTAACCGGATCGCAGGTGATGGCTGTCGGCCAATGGATCCTCTTCTGCTGCGGGAGACATAGTCTTGAGTAGGCACATATTGGTGTTGGTCGATATTGACGGGAATCGGTCGTGGAGGCGGTATATTGCGAGGTAGACCCGCGGGAGAGTGAACACGAGGGGCATACGATGACTCCCCAGCTTGGTCAAAACGAGCCTCGATGCTGTCCATGGGTCGTTCAGTTGGGCGACACGCGTAACGTCCGGTGGGACTCTCCAGGTCTTCGTATCGCTCTCGCCGTCCGAAACGTAGAGTCGGGCTCTCCACATCGTCTGGTATCCCATCAGGCCAGTTGCGTTCGAGGAAGTCGTCAAAGGCTCTGAGAGCGCGACCGTGCTCATCCGTTCTCCCTTCCGCTCTGCCTCTTGTCAATCCCTCTCGCATTCCTTCTCGTATTCCCTGGTTCCGGCCTTCCCTCAACCCAGCTTCTCTCGCATCACGCAGGGCAATAGTTTGGATGAGCTGCCTCTCCCTGTCCCTTGCCCTCGCCGCCGCCTCTTCCGCTCGATCCCGTTCCCCGTCCGCGTTGTCGATGTTCTGCTGGGCGGTCTGGATCTCCCCCATCGCAACCTCGAGCTGCAACTTGTACCTTCTCGTCTCTTCTTGCAGCTTGGCAGCTTCCATCTCTGCCCTCTGCCTCGCGATATCGTGAGCGATGAACTTGGCATCCGCCCCTCTCAGCCTACTCTCCAGCTCCTCGCTCCGCTGCTTCTCGGACAGAAGCTGCTCGGCGCTGTCGTCCAGTAACTGACGCAATTCTGACGCTTCTCGCTGCCACTGTTCCACCGCATGCTCCATATCTCGCATGGGGTGTGTGGGCTCTCTGCGTCTCGTTCTCCGTGCATTACTGTGTTGAGTCCTGATAGAGCGCTGAGGGACATCTGGGAGCGAGCGTCCATCTAAGCGCTCTGCCAGCTGACTAGCCCGTTGATATTCCATTTCTTCCCTCGCTAGATCAATTCTCCTCATAATTAATCAGCGACAATGAGAAGTAGTCACACTGAGGGAGGACGCACGAGAACGGCGAGGGCGGCCTGCCAAGGTCCATGTCGGGATCACTTTGAGTCCTCACCATGCCTAACAGCGGGTGTTCTGCAGCATATAAGTAGGTGACGCATGGCGATGCGACCGAGAAGGCGGGAATTCAGTAATGACATACCTGAAAATTACTGCCAGTTGGCTACAGTTTGGTGAACACGAGGCAAAGGAAAGGGTTCCCGAAGGCCGCAGTTAATACAGGGGCGGTGCCTTGTTGGTATATTCTTAGCCAGCTCCTGTCTAGAAGGGTATTGCAGTCCAGTCCAATATATCACAAGTTACTTTCCCCGGAGATACGGAGAAATAGTACAAAGTAAACAACAATGGGGGTTATGGTGGTAAGAAGCGATGAGGGATTTGTTTGAATGTTGAATGTCACATTCGTCGGAACCTATTTGCGGAGGCATGCGTTGTTAGGGTTTTATTTTTACTGGTTGACGGTTCTAGATGGTAAAGATATAACATTGCATGTGGAAGCTAAACTAACTGGACGACGCAAATGCCAGATGCGCAGATGGAACGAACAGGTTCTTGAGCATTGCGTACTGGGCAGTCTGCCGTCAAAACATTGCAGTTAGCAACTTGCGCGCCGTCTTGATGGGTTATGTTCTGCACGCTGCCATGTAGGATGGACAGCACGCGGCATGTGACGGACCTGTAATTGGAGTCAGTGAATCAAGAGCAAGGGAGACGCAGGGAGGGTATAGTGTCAGCGAAGCAGAATTGCAAATTATCTCGACATATGTGATTAAGCCAGGGATAACCGAAGAAGAAAACTCATCCCAAAAGTACTGGAAAGGCCAAGGGCATTGTGAACGTACGATCTCAAACCCCACTCTCCAAGAATGTTGCAAAGCAAGACTGTTACAGCGCAGCCCTGCCCAGCAATGAGATAGGCGGTACCGAAAACATTTGAAGCAGAGAAGACGGGGGAGAGAAGACAGGAAAGAGAGCATGCTCGACTCAGACCTTGCTTTTTTAGATCCCCTGTACGGAAGCAGACCTAATTGGCAACAGTGCATTGTAAGCACGTGAGGCACCTTACCAGCTCCCGCAATTTGGTCCCGAGACTAAGCAGAGCATAACAACACTAAGGTATCCTGGATGAGCTCGCTACGCTCGAATATGCCCCTGCTGCGTTGAGGGATAACGAAGCGGCTATCAAGAGCTTGACTGAGAGGATCGACGCCAGCAGCCAGCAGATCATCGTTTTGCATAAGAAGACGTGCGCTTCTAGTTCGACCGCGAATAGAGCTGACCGCTCCGTAGGAACCGAGAACACAAGGATTTTGCTAAACTGCAGAATAGCGCTGGACGTAGGCTGTGGGTCAAGATCAAGCATGGAGGGAAGAAGGACGCGGTAGAGAAGAAGCTCGAGAAGGAGGAACGCGAGTTCCTCGAAGCGCTCGAGCAGGAGCAAGCGGCCGAGGAGGTCAGAGCGGCAATGCAAACGGAGAAGGACAGCTTAGCAAGCAAGGTGTGTTCCCCTTCCGTGCGCGGGAGACGTATCTAATAAGCAACAGAATCCGGAACTGCAGCA